CCTTGGTCCTTAGCCAATGGTTGGGCCCAAAGGGCACAGCCCTTCTGCTCTGCAGTCTCCAGGCTTGTCATAGATGAAGTCCAGTGCTCTTTCTAGCTGGAAGGAGCAATACAAGCAGGGGGCAGCCTCTCAGGAGTCCCTTGCTCTTCCAACCGATGGATAAAGCCAAATTAGCAGTCCCGAGGCAGCTTTCACTGAGACTCAGAGCATGGAAATAGCAAGTTATCTTTCCAGGCCCCAGCAAACTCGAAAAATGACTTTCCCTTCTAAATCCCACTCTACCGATTGGAGTAGATGACTTTGTTGCAGATGAAACTAGAACAATCTGTTTGTTAAAGTGTTTTAAGTGTAAAAACTAATATTTTCTAGCACTTTTATAACTACAACCTGCTGGGCTTTGAAATGCAGTCTGGTTTATGGTTTAATTTACCTCTACCCTGTGATGCTGGGAACGAAAGAGAATTGACTAATATAAGAGAACTGCAAGCCAGCACTGGGCCTTAACAAGTCTTCATAATGAGCTCTGCTGATCACTTCATTAGGTAAAGTCATCATTGCACTTTGAAGTAGTGGAATTCCCCCTATTCATGTCACTCTTACAAAGTTAGTTTTCATGTAAAGCCCTATTTCTTTACCTTAAAGCAAGGAATAATGTAAAGACTGATTGCCACAAAAGAAAAGGAAACTATTTACGTTTACACTCATGGGGCCTGATTGTTATATATTTTCATTCATTTCACCGTGGGGCTTCAGGGGAAGTTGTGCTGGATTCTGGTTTGATTACATTCAATCCTTCAAATGCCAAAAATTTAGTTGCCCTCCTGTTGGCATCTCATTTTAAGTTGAAATTATGACAAATAATGAGAGTTTCTGTTGTTTTAATTTTTGGAATTTTTATGCATCATGGCAGACATAAATATCACGAAACACATTGCCAGGCCTATATCCAAACAAATGCCATTCCATACTCTCTCGGATTTGCCAAATTTGAATGTATGTGTTTGAACAGATGTTGGTTCCTTCTGTATTGTGCATTCAGAGAGGTTTTGCCCATTGCTTTTGATTTAGCTCATAATAATAGTTGCATTTGTGATCAGATTTCTCCATCCTTAGAATGTGTGACACAAAGGTCATGATGTATATTGGTATATTTTTTTAAAAAAAGAGGGGGGAGCACTGACAAGTATTGGACCATACAGTACTGTATTTCTTGTACTGTAGACTCAGCTCACAGTAATGCAAAAATATGGGAAATCTGGAATGCTCACTTCTTTGTTTTGTTACTTGGAAAAAGGACTTTTTTTTGCATGTCAACTTTGTAAGACCATAGCTTCCCTTGCTTGTGGTATTCTGGGATTTATAGTCCAAAAAAGTTAATGCTCCTAAATTTCTCTGTGAGTCACCTTTTTATCTTCAAGTGAACTTTGTGGTTAAACGTGATAGCCGGAATACAGTTCTGAGCAGATGCAAAGGCAAATGCAAGTATATTCCTGTGTCAGGGTTTTCAAAAGCAAAATACTTGCATACAAGGAGACATTAGTTTGTGATCAGAATGCCTCCAGAGCAAAGCCTGGGAACGCAACTTTCTGCTGTTCTGCTCTATACCCATATAGGCTGACTGAACAGAGCAGCCAATGAACTGGTCTTTGAAAAAAAAAAGTGCATTTCTTTCACACAGTAAGGCCTCGGGCTTTGAAAAAAAGGATGGGTCACAGGAGTGAATTACTTTGCTGACCCTCTGGGATTTCTTTGACTTCTTATCTAACCCAATTGTAAACTAAATCTTCCCGAGACTTTGTGCAGGGATAAGAAAAAAGAAATTAATGTTGTCTCTTTAGATCAGGATGCAATCCCTCTCCCTTCCTTCGGTAGATAGCTTGCAACCGTGGGAGCACTGTTTTGAAAGAAAGCAAGAGTCATGGCTGTAATCTTTCTGTTTCTAAAAGGGATGACGTGGATAGAGTTGTGAACACAGATCTCGTAGTAGAGGGGAATTGCTTTAATGAAGTCTTAAGGAGACTTTCTGGGCAGGGGCAGGTGGCTGCAGGGTGAGATATCAAAGTCTTCCATTAACCAGCCTTGCCGAATGAGATACAGGCAAGAGCTTCTTCTGTACGATTCATTTTGGCTCAGAAGGAAAAATGTTAACTAGTGAGCTTTCTGCCATTGGTGTGGCACCATGGCATAAGTAATTGCTGCCAAATAAAAATTGACCCACAGTGTGATCTTTGCAGGTACTGAAGATGTGTTCTGTATTGACACTGACAGCCCCTGTTCATGGCTACTTCTAATTTAGTTTTGGTACAAAGAGTCCCCTTAGATCAGCCCAAAGATCCAGTTGTGTGGGGGGGGTGCGACTACACAGTGGCCATTTACTTTGCAATTTATGTCGGATTTAATAAGAATACAGAATCACCTGAGAACTACATTGCTGAAAGGTACCCTGCAGATCCTCGAGTCCAGTGCCTGGAAAGAAGGCACAGTAGAGAATCGAACCCCCATCCTCTGGGTCTAAAACCAGAGACCTAAACCACTGAACTATCCAGCAATTCTTGAGCACTGATGAATTCAAATTAGAGACCAGAGTGACTATAGGACGTAAAACTGAATGCAAGGAAGCCCGTGGTGGAATTGTTTTTTTAAAGTGGGGAATTGTCTTTTTTAATTAGTCTCCAAAATGGTTTATATTTGTTGCAATCTATTTGACTAGGAATCTGGAAACCAGGGTTCAAATCCCCACTGGACCGTGGAAACTCATTGGGAGAGTGGAACTGGTAAAACCAGTCCTTAAATATCTCACGTATCTTGAAAGTCCTATTAAGTCAGTTCTGACCTGACAGCACATAACAACAACATATATTGTATATTTTATTTATTCTGTTATGATGTTGTAATTTGATTGGAATTATTTAAGTCAGGGGTTTGCAGTGGGTCACCTTTTGTTGTTGCTAATGTTGATTGTTTAGGAATATCACTGATCATTCTTAATTTTGGTTTTATGGTTGGTTTTACATCATGTAAGCATCCCCGAGTAGTGATCTCATGAAGTCAGGTGGTCTATAAGCTAGCTAGCTAGACAGACAGACAGGCAGGCAGGCAGGCAGGCCTGTTTTGGCTTGATAATTTTCAAAGCCTGAAGGAGGCCAGCTTTGGACAGGCGGATATTTTAAGTGGGGAGATGCATTCTGTCTCTTCCTGTCCCGATGGAGGTGTTACCTGACTGGCTCAGTGGGAGGTGAAGGGACAATCTGTCCTCATTCATCACCAGCTAATCAGTACAGCATCTGCATCTGTGGTGACTGTCTGTTTCTTGCTTATTACAATGATTGACGTCTCAAATGAAAAAAATTATCAAGTAAACAAGCCATGGCTTCTATACTAGTAAGCTGTTTTGTTTCAGTGGAGGCCTCAGCAAGTAATAACCAATGTGTGAGGAAAACTACCTAACTCACTGCAGATTCTTCTTCTGCAACTAGCATTTAAGAGATGTTGCTTCCTAATTTTGGTAGAAAAAGTTGAAGACAGCAGGAAAAGGAGAAGATGAAATAAGAGATGGATTGACTCCATCAAGGAAGATACAGGATTGAACTTACAAAAGCTGAGCAGCATCGTTGAAAACAGGACATTGCTCATTACTTGCTGAGATCACAATTTAAGCATCCATTCAGTGCATCAATCTAAATGCTATTATTGCTGTTATGTCAATCAAGACACCTCTGACTTATGGTGACTCTATGAATCCCAATGAAATTGACTAGACCAGTGGTTCTTAACCTTGGGCAATCCAGGTGTTCTTGGACTGCAATTCCCAGAAGCCTTCACCACCAGCTATGCTGGTTGGGGCTTCTGGGACTTGCAGTCCAAGAACACCTGGGTTACCCAAGGTTAAGAACCAATGGACTAGACTTACGTTTACAGAGCCACAGGATATTTTCCATTATGAAAGCCGTCCTTATAAGACAGTTCTTCAACTCCAGCTTGCAAGCTGTATGTGACTCTTCAACCTTTTTTTGGGGGGGGGAGGGACAGGAAGTCTCATTTTATAAAGCTGCTCTGGAGCAGATTGGCTGGGACCAAGCATTTTCATTCTTGTTCTAGTATCCCTGACAATGATCTCGTTCATCAACTGCAGTAAGCCCTGAGCTAGGCCTGTGAATCCTGAGGCTGACCTAGATAAACATGACACATTGGCCTTCTTTTTTGTGCCCTTAACATCTGCTCTTAACAACAACAAAAAAAGAAAGTATAATGGAGTACTTAAAACTATTGGACTAGTATCGAGAAGAACTGAGTTCAAATTTACATGATGCTGACCAGATACACTTGAGTGAGTTGTACACACAGCCTAACTGCCTCACAGGATTAGTGTAAGGGTAAAGGAAGAGAGGGTATGTGTGCCACTTTGATATCCTTGAAGGAAGCTTGAAATAAAATCTAATAAATGATGTCTATATTATGTGCCATCCAGTTGCATCCAACTCATGCGACACTAAAAGGGTTTTCAAGGTACATTAGATATATAAGGAGTGATTTTACCATTGCCAGCTCCCTCCCCTCCTTGAGTCTCCATGGCTAAGGGTTTGGACTCATGTCTCCTGAGGCCAAATCTGTCACTCTTTCCACTATACCACATTGACTCTTGAAATAATTATTATGGAAATGGAACCTGCAAGGAAGAAGTACTGCTAAATACTCTCTCTCTCTCTCTCTCAATCTCTCTCAAATACCTTAATACATAGCAGGTTTATTAAAAATAAATATTATTGTGACCAGACCTGAAAAACATTATCCCCCTTGTCCTGATGTGTGTATAAATGTGTCTTAAAGCAATCAGGTGAGTAAATTCCTCCAGAGGCTCTTTCTGCATATGCTAGGTATCCAAGCCATTGGCTTAAGATGAAATAGCCAAATGTTCCATTAAAATGTAGATAAATAGGCATCAGAAAATAACTAGAGATGCTCTTTAATATACCGTAATATTTTATTTGTTTTCCTTCCAGCCCCACTGCTGAACCTCCAAAAGCTCCTTGCAAAGTTGTAGAAAGGTTAGTATTCTTAAACAGTGGTGTTCAGAGGTTATGGTGATAAGAATAAATAATAAAGGAATATCGAATTCCTATGAAAATACAGAAGCTATGTTACACCACATCAGTTTGTCTATTCACAGTCTGGCATTCTCTCCATGGTCTAAGCTGGTGACTTAGAGTTCTAGGCAAGAAAGAACACATGCATGCATGCATGCGTGCACACACACACACATACCATTGTCTGTCACACAGAAAGTAGCTTGTGCTACAATTCCATAGAATATGGCTGATGTGAGAGTATACCATTAACACCCCAAACACACATACAAATGTGTTGCTCTCTAAAAGCACCTGGGAAGAACATCTAACAAGGATGCTAACTGAATTCTGTTGTAGTTAAAACAGTATCCAGCTTTCAGGTGAGTTACAGTGAATTCTCACTCATGAAACCCTATAGCCAAGGTTGTTGTTCATTGAGTGACTGGCTGACAATGGAAATCCATTATGATTCCCCTAATGAACACTAACAGAAAATCTTATATGAACACAGCAAACTGTCTGGTTAGTTATACAGTGTTCATGGCAGTCACCATGTTAAAGCATAACCTATTTTATCTACATACTAACAGAGGAATTCTTTAGCTTGTAATTTCCCAAGGTTGCGTATTCTATATTATAGTTATTAGTTAGCATTGGTTCTAAACTATACCAATTCAGGATACAGTTATAAACAATCTGCCAAGATACCAAGTTAATGGGCTTATTTCATCTACTAACCTGCATGTGGCTACTTTATTAATGTTCATTAAAAGCCACTTATCAGCTTAAGCTGTCAGCTTGAGCATGTTAATTTAGCTTAGGCTGTGCTAATTTTACTCTCTCTAGCCATTCCATTTGAACAGTCTGCACCTGATCATGGGAGAAGTTGGTGGTAGGCTTCAGAAAATATAGTTTCATTTTCAGAACAGAAATGAAAGTTAGACATCCTTGTGCTCTCTAATCATACCCTGAAGTCATTTTAAACTGGGGCATCCTGTAGAACTTTGCAGACAGTAAATCCACTGTGTGAATATGCAAAAGGGCTAAACGAGATTCTATCTGACAATAAACATAAGTGTTATACTCATACTAGGAAGGGTGCAGCACTAGTTGATATCCTGGCTTAGTCTGGATGATTCCAGACCTGTTATTACGCCTTAGCCTGAAATGAAGGCAGACCTCAGACATTAAAAAAATGTTGCATACACCGCATGTGTGTACCAATCACCAGGCAAGCCCAGGGCCAATTAATCTATTGTTGGTTTTGTTGTTACCTATTATTGCATGCTACTAAGTCATCTCCAACTTACAGCAGCCTGTGACCTCTACGATGTCCTTTCATTAGCTGCTCTTGTAAACTCAAAGCTGTGGCTGCTTTTAAAGAGTTAATCATAGTTGATCTTCTTATTCTCCTGATGCATCCAACTTTTCATAGCATTATTATCTTTCCCAGCAAGTCTTGTCTTTTTATGAAGTGCCCAAATAACAACAGCTTCAGATTCATCATTTTTGCTTCTGGAGAGAGTTCAGGCTTGATTTGATCTAGGACCCACTTATTTGTGTTTCTGATGGTCCAAGATATCTTCAAAGCTCTCCTCAACCAATACACGAGGTTAAAAGATAGGCAAACAGTCATGCTCCTGGAGTAGGAGATGTCGTCAATATCTCTGCTGAATGTGCCATCTCATCCCATAGTTAGCAAGTGAAGTGGCCCTAGTGCCCTTTGATTCCAGTACTTCCTCTGTGCAAGAATGACCCCTGGTATACCCACAGAAAGCAGATGCTGAGGACAAACAAGAAAAGAACGTTATCCCGATGTATGCTCTGCTTGTGAATCTTTGGAGGAATCTTACACCTGTTATTGAACACAGAACACTGGATTTGGCCTGAAGTGACAAAATCATTCTTTTGTTTTAAACCTACTCCTTCGGTTCATAAGATAAGATCACAGCATTGCAGAGTCACATCCTCTGCATAGATAATGTCCTGCATACAGTCCATGGCTTCTCCAGTTAAATGATCACAGGGCAAGGCGCTACTTCCTGAGTTCTTCAACTCCTGCAACCAGAACAGCCTGCTTTGGGCTAAATAGCCTGGTTCAGCATAAGGCAATGTCTCATGCTCATTTCTCGTGCTCTCTTGCATGAAAGCCATGTGTTTAGAGTCAGAGTTCCAATTAAAGTAGGCCCACTGAATCAATGGGTTCTATATAAGTATTGATTTACCATTTAGCATTGATGCAATAGGTCTACTCTAGTTTGAGCTAGCAGTTGGATTCAGGCCAGCATGAGAGTCCAGAAAAAGGGCATAGATGTCAAATGTTTGGAGAAAGTTATGCATGTCTACTAGAAGATTAAGTATCTCTGAGTTCCGTGGAGTCTCCTCCTAAGTAAATGAGTAGAACTGCAGCCAAAATCATCTGAATCTCTTCTAAGATTCCTTATTACAATTGTTTCAGGGGACCGGTACTCAGTGTAGAAAACCTCCACACTGAACAAATTGAATTTGCATATATTTATTTTGCATAATACATTTTGCTTGCAAGGCTGATTTTTAGCATTTTTCCCTTACAAAATGACTGTCAAAGGAAATAGGGTAAAGAATAATATGAAAACAATGAATTCACTGGAGGCTACCAAATATGTATCTGTGGGGTAGTTTTCCTTCTTGCTAACAGAACTCCAGCTTCCATTAAAACCTCTTCTCTGTTGCAACTAAAACATTTCAGTGATGTTCTCTGCCAGATGTATTTGGGGTTCATATGCAGAGTTCTGGATCATCACTTTTGGTCTTGTTGTGATCAGGGTTCAGCTATAATACCCTTTGGTCTAGTGCAGTCTTCTTCCCTGAGGTTGACTTTGTGTTCTAAAGCCTTCCCTTTCCCCTGTTTGCTGTCACTGACATGCAGTGTCCATCTGAGCAAAACCTTTGCACAATTATGGGATGATCACCAAGATAGTCACGTGAACAGAACAAGTTTGCTTACAAAAACCACAGTCTGTTCTTTTAAAACAGAAACTGGAACTCATAAGTTTATTATGAATGTGGCAAAGCGACATTTATTTCCACATGATCCCCTTTCTGGCCATATGTTAGTAAGGTGTTTAATATACGTAAAGAGCTTTTCTTGACCTTACCACGTGACCTCCATTTCAATCTTTCCCCTTATTTTTTATTCTATATCTAGTTTGTATGACCTCAAGATGAAGGAGCCTTCGCCTGAAGAGAAGCCTGCTGTTGAGAAAAAAAAGAAAGAGGTGGCAGAGAAGCCAAAGCGTGTCGGTAGCGGAAGGAAAAAAACAAAGAAATAGGATATGGGACAGAAAGGGTATTTTGTTTCTTCTCTTTACATGTATACACATATTTAATGTACCCACAAATGTAGATAGTACTTGCAGCTAGTAGGATTTTTTTTTAGCATTATAAAGCAAAATCCCAGTGGGAATCTGTCTGGTTATGGATGGCCTTAGTTTCTCTCCATACAGAAGCTTGTCTGTCTAAAATATCAGGTGATTGGTTCCTCACATGGTCGGTGGAAGTCATGGGGAAAGTCACTCACCTCAGATGCCTAACTCAACAGTATACAAAGTTCAAAAGGGAAGCTAGGGCTGGGTGAAATAGATGTCAAAACAAATGGGAATATATACGTAAGAAGAAGAAGAAGAAGAAGAAGAAGAAGAAGAAGAAGAAGAAGAAGAAGAAGAAGAAGAAGAAGAAGAAGAAGAGAAAGCAAGGTCTACAAGAGAAGGCAGATCAGGCAAAGAGCTGAGAATGAAAGGACGGGCCAAAAATAGAGAAGGGGAAGTGCCTACATGTTACACTGCAAGGGGGTTTGCTTTTTTTTTGCTCTCTCATGAAAAGGATAGGCAGAATGAGGTACAGCCCAAGAGGAGATAGACCAGCTGAAGTCCAAGAATCAGTTATTTATTTCATAAGAGGATACATGATGAGAAGTCAGAATATGAACTTAATGACAGAGCAAAATCATGGTAAAGGTAGTCCTATGCTTCAGATTGCCTGGGGCTAGGGGCAGGGGTATGTCAGAATATGAACTTAATGGCAGAGCATTAATGGCAGAGCAAAATCATGGTAAAGGTATTCCTATGCTTCAGATTGCCTGGGGCTAGGGAACACATCTCAAAACATCCCCAAAAGCTGTTACCCCTGAATGGGATTCATTGTATAGTTCTTCTGAATATACACATTGGTCCACATATCAATGCAAGATGCTGTTCAAGTGAGTTCGTTCTTCTTCTTTTCAGTAGTCAGATGTTCATTCAGTCTACCCCAAAGCTGTTACTCCTGAATGGGATTCATTGTATAGTTCTGAATATACACATTGGTCCACATATCAATGCAAGATGTTGTTCAAGTGAGTTCTTTCTTCTTTTCAGTACAATAGTCAGATGTTCAGTCTGCCTGGTTCCGTACCCACAATATGTTCAACACTATGACCATAATTACACTCCTGAGGGGGGGAGGAACAGAGGAAATCTGCAGCGACTCCTGGTGTACCAAATGACACTGGTCTTATTGAGGTTCTTTTCTGCTCCAGTTTTTATACACCACATTTTGGGTGGCACACACCTGCCCTGCTTTTACCCTCCTAATCAATCAGGCAATTGAGCCGGCAGACTGTTTCCTTAAAAACTGAATTTTTCTTAAAGGAGCCACAATCTATGCTGCAACGAAGAAGGAGTGGCTGAGAAGAGCTGCAAGAAGAGGCTCCTGCATTAACAAAACACACACACATGCATACCCTCATGCATTCTCGCTGACTGGGGAAAAGAAGCAAGACAGCTGCTTGTTGTTGCTGTTGTTGTTGTTAGTCTTCCTCCTCTAGGCTTCTCCAGTTGCAGAAAGGGAAGAAATGAAATCTGAATGCCCTTTTTAAAATAATGCTTTTCTGATAATGCCAAAACTTCTGAAAGTTGTGGATCAGCCTGAGTTGTGGATCTTTCAGCCTGGGGCTTAACTCATGCAGCTAGTGCCCATTCTTTCTTTGCACGAATGTGGCTTCCCAGTGAGCCTAAAACGAAGGGCAATTAGCTCTATCCACACCATTCCAATATACTAGAGACCACTTTTCAACTTTCAGTTTATCTTCTAGAGAGCAAAGTATTTTTAGAAACTGCTACACTCCATCAGTTGACAAGAGCTATAAAGAACACAGGGTTTCAGGGAGCCATCTACAAAAGAACAGTCAGATGCGTTTAGGAAAAATAGAAGAGAAATGCAGACATGTCAAAAAGAAGCATAAACTAGCATTCTCATTTATATTTTGTTTTAGATGGGTAAATTCTGTGCATCAGTGGGCAGTAGTGCAGACATGCTGTTTGCACCCTGAGACTTAAAGTGGCTGTGGTTTAAATTAGTTTGTGAAGTAATAAAGAGGAGTGAAGAATCTGCGGTTCTTCCAGTTTTGTTATAATACAGCTGCATTCTCTGTGCTCATTAGCCATGTTGCTGAAGCTGAGGGGAGCTAGAGTCCAGCACTATCTGCAGGGTCAGAGTTCCTCAACCTCTGTAGTAGATAGAGTGCTGGGCTTGGCTATAGAGATCTGGGCTCAAATTCTTACTCAGCTGTGACACCCATCAGGAGACCCCCTGCCAGCTGATTATCCAAACTCCACAGCGTGATTGTAACAATGGAGTGGGATTATCCCCACATCATCTGCCTGCACAAGAATAGAGAGGAAAAGTGGAAAGTGGTAGAAGAAAAGAAAGCACAGGTGATAAATGAAGAAGAATTACTATAGAACACACACGGGCTGCAACAAAGTTTGAATTGGTTGTTGTGAGGTTTTGGGGGTCTTTGGCTGTGTTCTGAAGGCTGTTATTCCTGATGTTTTGCCAGTCTCTGTGGCAAAGACTGGTGAAACGTCAAGAAGAACAACCTTCACAACATGGCCGAAGAGCCCGAAAAACTCACAACAACCATCAGATCCTGGCCGTCAAAGCCTTCAAGAAAACTTTGAATTTCTCATCCACATCCTCTTTCACATTAACAGTGCTACCACATGGCACAAACAACATGGAAGATGCTTGAGGATGCATTTAAGCCTTAAGTGAAAGTCAGTCAATCAATCAATCAATCAATCAATCAATCAATCAATCAATCAATCAATCAATCAATCTATCTATCTATCTATCTATCTATCTATCTATTTCTATTTCTATTTCTATTTCTATTTCTATTTCTATTTCTACCTCACTTTTCTCCTTAAAAAGGACCCAAGACAGCTTACATCATTTAAAAAGACAATATTTAAAAGGGAAAACAGTGTGTATACAAATATTTTAAAAGAATAAAATAAATATTAGAAATGGTAAATAAAATCAATAATAAGAACAGATTTAAAAGCAACAAGGCACAACCATCCATTTTTAAAAGAACACCCTCTCAGACTGCCAGACACTAGGGGAAAACCCGCCTGAAGAGGAAGGTATTTGTTTGCTTGTGGAATGTCAGGTTTATCTAAATCATTTCAAAGAATAAAGTTTAATCTTTGCTTCTCACTCAAGAGAGACAAAATATGTGTGCTTGACGCTGGTCAAATAAGTCAGAACTACCACCAGAAAGCCTAACCTGTTGGCAAGAGAAAATATTCTTTGAAGTAGAGCAAGTCATGACCTCAGATTGATGGGAGATTGATTTTTAGAACACACTTAAAGCGCCAGATATTATTTAGTAGGAGGTATAAAAAGTGAGGTAACCATAAAGGGCTGTGACAGCTTTTCAGTTGTAATAATCCATCTGTTGCCTCGGAGATTATTTCAGATATCTGACAGAAAAGCTCCAATTTAGGTTCAGAGGGAAATGGTATCGAATACGTCACATTCAGAAAGAAAGGACAGCTTAGGCACAATAATTTGTGTTTAAACAAATTCTACAGTCAAAATGGCTATTTCCTTACTAAAAATGTCTGCAAAGCAGGCATGCTGCAATGGCTTTCCCCTATAATACCTGCATTCTACAGTGTATATTTATGTACATGTTTTCAGTGTTATATTTATTAGAAACTCCTGGGGTCATGGAACAAAACTCTAAGATCCTCTTGTTGTGACTGGCAATTTTTGCTTTATGCTCTCTTTTTTTGGTTCATCACCTTTCAATAAAGAAAGCAAATGTTGGGTGTAATAGCTTTGTAACAAAGTGTCCCTGGAGGCTGTAATAAATTAATATGGTCTGAAAATTGCCAGAGTTAAAGTGACATTTTATTAGGCTTCCTGTCTATGCCTTTCCCATGCAGACTCATTCCCATTATCCAAAAGACACTGTATGAGTTTGACATAATTCATGCTGGATAAATGCTGTACAAAATGAAAAGAAAATTAGCAAGCAGACAAGATGGCTGCATCAGATCACAGGAGAAGAGGTACTACTGTTTGGCTTTCCCTTCTTTTCTCCCAAGAAACCTGCATGATGAACCCCATTAACTCCTGCACAGCAGATTATGAAGGCACACTAACTACCAGAAGAACTGTCTTCCTGAATTAGACCAGCATCCCATCCTGATCAGCTCCATTTTCGAAAATAGGGACTAGTCAGAAGCTCCAGGGGAAGCTTAAGGGCAGCTGTGGCAATTTCTGTGATCTTTGGCTTTCCCATGATCTAACTTTAAAGATTGTGGAAAGAGCTGCAGATCAAATTTACAAGTGCTTGCCTGAGGATTATGCCACTCAGAAACAGGCGGGTCCCATGGCTCTTTCATGTTTTCTTCATCATTTCCCCTCTCTCTTTATTCATTGTACTTGTAATATTCTCATTTCTTACTGAAGTCTCTATTTTCCCCTTTGTGACCCTTTTCTCACATGTGGAAGACTGATTCCATTTAAAAAACCTTAATTCAAAGCCATACATCCAAAGATGCAATTTTAACCATGGAAGATGGTGGTTTCCTCATAGAGGGTATCTCTTCTAGGAGGGCACAGCATGTCTTGTTCCATCAAAAAGATGGTGGACCTCCTGGAGATCTGGAAGCAAGACAGTGTGCAGGAACTGTTGTGGAAGAACCACAATAATCAATGACATTTTCAGGCAATTTGTCATTTGCGTAATATGTCTCTTGTGAGAATATACATGGGTTTCTGCTGGGGTTGGAAAGGGGATGATGACCTTCATCCAAAATTCACTTATTTATTGAATGTGCATGGGCAGATACACGGGCTTGGGGACAAAGGGAAGTACATGGTGGTCGAACATCCACACATGCTCATAAACACCTTTTTAAAATAATAAAAAGGGGGGCAGGAGTGGTATAATGTGATGTTACACCTAATCCACAGCACAAGCATCGTAACAACATGCACACCCACCCACAGTGCAATATCTCCCACCATGGGTTAATATGTCAGATTAAACTAAAAAAGGGCTGCAACTTGGGTATGTGATACAAGTGGGGTTGCTCCTGTTTGCAGCTAACAC